GAATGGGGTGGGGGGGGGGGGGGGGGGGGGGGGGGGGGGAAGAAGGCCTTCCACCCACCGTGGTGAGTTGAAAGTGGTAATTTGGACAACGAGAAGCGCTTATAAAAAGTTTAATAGATGTCACTCTTGAACTGTTCACGTCGTTCCTCTCCTCGCAAGCTAGGGCGCGGCGGAGATTCGGGGTCTCGGTCGTGATGCGGCCTGAACAAGGCAGTCACCTGCTGACTCGCCCATCGGCTGGTTAGTCTCCATCGCTTACAAAGAATGGCCCCTTATATTCTGTCGGAAATTCTATGTATCTATTCAAAGCTCCTGTAGAAGTGTTAATGATCAGAAACGAATTCAGGGTCAAATCGCGAAAACATTGTAAGAATATAGACCCCCCCAAATATCCCGAGGTGTGCGAAGAACTGCTGATAAGGAACCATCCAAAGAGCGCTGAACACCATTCTTTTATTTTTATAAAATTTCACTGAAAAATGGACAGATGGTAAATTTATTTCCGAGAACTATTGAAGGCTGTTATTTATTAAAAAGATTAAACACATAAAAATGGAAAAAATCATGGATACTGCATTTTAAAAGACGGTTATCGGAGCGTTTGTTGGGTTTAAAAATAAGCCCCCATACAGAGAAAATATCAATTGATGACTCAGAGTTCTTCAATACAATTAAATCAGTTTTTTATAATTTATGTCGGTGTTGTGATTTCGTCGTTCGATTCATGTCGTATGTACAGTACAATATGTGATATTCATCGAGTGATATTTTATTTTTCTTGACTATTCTACTAAATCTCGTTCTGTCGCTCAGGTTAAAAAAAAAACTTAATATATACAACGATTGAATCAAGTAAAACCTTCAATTCTGAGAAATGTTTCCCAGAAAATTTCGCATGATTTTCGCATTTTAATTTCGTGTGGGTGTTTCAAGATACTGTACATTAATTCAATAAATCTGAAAATATATTTTTAGGCTATGTCGAATAAGTCTGTCAAACAAGGTTTACTTGAAAAACATGATATGGTCATAACAATGTTCGCGCTGGTGATTTTTTTTTGGTCATAAGAATGCTATTTATAAAATATAAATAGGTGAACCAGAATTTGCCAAGGTCAAGTCTACGATATCATGAAACCTTTTGCGAATAAACAGAGGATTGCTTCTTGTTATCGATCCCAGAGATGATCACAGGATTCTGACGAGAAACTCGGGTACCCAGAGAACTTCGGTCGAAAATTGCGTCTAAACTTTTGATCCATATCTTGGATTACGAATTTCTTGAGATTTGATCAGGATACTGTATCGTACAACAGAATTTGGAAAAAATTAAGAAAAACGAAGTCGAGAAAATAGTTTTTCATATTCTGCTATGCATCACCGAAAAACTTTCACAGATTTCATTTCACACCTTATTGAAGAGATTCTTGCTCGACTAAGAAAGCATTTGCCAAATATTTCCGCTAGAACTTAGTTAGCTAAAACTACTGAGCAAACAAACCTTGGTAAGCTAAAGATATATGTGCAGCTTATAGAATTTATCTGCCATATCCTGTGCATTTATAATCAGCATGAAATTTTACACCGTGATTTATTCTTCTTCGACAGTGAATTAATTAAGGTTGAAATCACGTAGATAATTTTTTTCGCGTGATCTTACACTTTTCATTCAGTGATTTTCCTTTTACTTTTGTGCAGTTGCTGCGTCTTCTTGATATTAATCTCAATTTTTCATTTTCGCATAATTACTGAATTTCAAATGCGTTCTGCAACTTTTTTCTATAATTACTGTGATCAGTTTATTTCCTCTTAAATACAAAGACATTCCTCGCCCGAAAGTGCATAGCAAAAAATCTATTTTTTAAATTTCGTGCAGAACTGTTCTCGGATGACAAGAGATTTCTATTTAGCTTTTTTTGCCATGGAATTTTTCAAGATTTTTAAAGGATCAGAATAATTCCTATGCAGCACTTTTCCACGGAAAGAGTATGATCCAGCTGACAAACAACTCAGCGTGGATCAAGTTCCTTATCCGAAACCCCAGTTAATTCTAAATATTTGAAAAAAATATGTATTATTCTTAAGGTCAATTCGAGAGAATATTTGGAAATACGAAATCCATGCAAGAGGATCCCAGCAAATAAGGTTCGACGATAAAGTAACCTGCTCCTCGTCCCGAAAGAAGCATGTTTCCCGCGCGTTTCTGCATCAGAAAAGCGCCAGAGCCCCGGAAATGTCACGTTTTTCTCGCTTGGTTGCAAATCTCACCAGTTGCACTTCTCATGCATCTGAAGGCTGTCAATTTGAGTCCGGGATGTCAAGAACAGTCTCAGGACTTATAGAACGAAGTCCCNTTGAACTGTTCACGTCGTTCCTCTCCTCGCAAGCTAGGGCGCGGCGGAGATTCGGGGTCTCGGTCGTGATGCGGCCTGAACAAGGCAGTCACCTGCTGACTCGCCCATCGGCTGGTTAGTCTCCATCGCTTACAAAGAATGGCCCCTTATATTCTGTCGGAAATTCTATGTATCTATTCAAAGCTCCTGTAGAAGTGTTAATGATCAGAAACGAATTCAGGGTCAAATCGCGAAAACATTGTAAGAATATAGACCCCCCCAAATATCCCGAGGTGTGCGAAGAACTGCTGATAAGGAACCATCCAAAGAGCGCTGAACACCATTCTTTTATTTTTATAAAATTTCACTGAAAAATGGACAGATGGTAAATTTATTTCCGAGAACTATTGAAGGCTGTTATTTATTAAAAAGATTAAACACATAAAAATGGAAAAAATCATGGATACTGCATTTTAAAAGACGGTTATCGGAGCGTTTGTTGGGTTTAAAAATAAGCCCCCATACAGAGAAAATATCAATTGATGACTCAGAGTTCTTCAATACAATTAAATCAGTTTTTTATAATTTATGTCGGTGTTGTGATTTCGTCGTTCGATTCATGTCGTATGTACAGTACAATATGTGATATTCATCGAGTGATATTTTATTTTTCTTGACTATTCTACTAAATCTCGTTCTGTCGCTCAGGTTAAAAAAAAAACTTAATATATACAACGATTGAATCAAGTAAAACCTTCAATTCTGAGAAATGTTTCCCAGAAAATTTCGCATGATTTTCGCATTTTAATTTCGTGTGGGTGTTTCAAGATACTGTACATTAATTCAATAAATCTGAAAATATATTTTTAGGCTATGTCGAATAAGTCTGTCAAACAAGGTTTACTTGAAAAACATGATATGGTCATAACAATGTTCGCGCTGGTGATTTTTTTGGTCATAAGAATGCTATTTATAAAATATAAATAGGTGAACCAGAATTTGCCAAGGTCAAGTCTACGATATCATGAAACCTTTTGCGAATAAACAGAGGATTGCTTCTTGTTATCGATCTCAGAGAGGATCACAGGATTCTGACGAGAAACTCGGGTACCCGGAGAACTTCGGTCGAAAATTGCGTCTAAACTTTTGATCCATCTCTTGGATTACGAATTTCTTGAGATGTGATCAGGATACTGTATCGTGCAAAAGAATTAGAAAAATAAAACGAAAAACGTAGTCGAGAAAATAGTTTTTCATATTCTGCTATGCATCACCAAAAAACTTTCACAGATTTCATTTCACACCTTATTGAAGAGATTCTTGCTCGACTAAGAAGGCATTTGTAAAATATTTCCGTTAGAACTTTGTTAGCTAAAACCACTGAGCAAACAAACCTTGGTAAGCTAAAGATAAATTTGCAGCTCCCAGAATTTATCTGCCATATCATGTGCATTTATAATCAGCATGCAATATTACCCCGTGATTTATTCTTCTTCAATAGTGAATTAATTAAGGTTGAAATCGCGTAGATAATTTTTTTTTGAGTGATCTTACACTTTTCATTCTGTGATTTTCATTTTATTTTTGTGCAGTCTTGATATTGATCTCAATTTTTCCTTTTAGCATAATTTCCGAATTTCAAATGCGTTCTGCAACTTTTTTCTATAATTACTGTGTTAGTTTATTTTCTCTAAAATACAAAGACCTTCTTCGCTTGAAAGTGAATAGAAAAAATATCAAATTTTTTTCGAATTTCGTACAGAACTGTTCTCGGATGACAAGAGATTTCTATTTAGATTTTTCACCATGGGATTTTTCAAGATTTTTAAAGGATCAAAATAATTCCTATGCAGCACTTTTCCACGGAAAGAGTATGATCCAGCTGACAAACAACTCAGCGTGGATCAAGTTCCTTATCCGAAACCCCAGTTAATTCTAAATATTTGAAAAAATATGTACTATTTTAAAGGTCAATTCGAGAGAAGATTTGGAAAAACGAAATCCATGCAAGAGGATCCCAGCAAATAAGGTTCGACGATAAAGTAACCTGCTCCTCGTCCCGAAAGAAGCATGTTTCCCGCGCGTTTCTGCATCAGAAAAGCGCCAGAGCCCCGGAAATGTCTACGAAATCCATGCAAGAGGATCCCAGCAAATAAGGTTCGACGATAAAGTAACCTGCTCCTCGTCCCGAAAGAAGCATGTTTCCCGCGCGTTTCTGCATCAG